TTTTTATTAAATAAAAATATTGTTTTTATTACCGAATGATCAATACATTCAAATTGAGTAGTCTCTTATTTAACAAAATATTAATAGGAGAACATTTTTAAATTTTATGATTTGACAATATTCTACTATCATTCAAATTTAATGAGCAGTGCATGGGACATAGCAAAATAACATGCATCCTCTTACATAAAACTAAAAAAAAAAATAATAATCTAGAAAATGTATCTAAAGAGCCAAGTAATCAAGGACATTGGTCGCTGTGATTTGTGTTTTGTCATTATTTAAATAGCTTTCGCCGTACATTAATGATGTATTTGTGGCAGGTTAGTACTGTGAAATGTGGTGTTTCAATCATGGCACGGGGTCTGATACCGTGGATCTGGCTGAAGCGACCCGTTTATATCCAGGTAAGACGCGAATAAGCATCGCATGCCACTTGTCATTAATCGTACCCGGTGTTTCGCTTTAACCATCTGTGTACTTGGCATCATTTGTGTGTGAGATTTGAATGGACGAGGCGGGGACGCTGTTATCCCGTTTGGACTCTGAAGTTTTTGAAGGCATCATCTCTTCCTAAAGCTTTAGCCTACTCCATCTGACTACAACGGCTGAATGCATCGAGCGGCTTTTTTCAACCATTTTTTTTCGACCTATGCATGAGCCTCATTTGAATATTTTACGAAAAATACCGAAATGCCATTTTTGCAACTGTATCCGTTGCTTTTCTCCGGTGGATTTCATGGATGTGATGGATGAACTGATGTTGCTGCGTTTTATCTATCGTTGGGTCAGTCGTTGCTGTAGCAACCGCGCTGCTGTATAACATTTTTATAGTCCTGCTGAAAACATTTCTCTTAACCTGTCAAGAATGTAATGCAAAATATAAATCATGAATTCCCAATCTCATCGGGGCGCTGTGTTCATGTGCTTCAAAGATTGACGACCTCATTTTACACTTCTATACTGAGCAACGTCAATACAAGCTCATGTGTTAACCCAAGAGAATAATAACCTAGCTGAACTGCTAAAGACTTTTCAGGGACATTAGCCTACTTGTTGGAGTCTTCAATAAGGCTTCTGCAAAGTTTTGATGTGTACTCCACTGAAATATTAAAAGAATACATTTAAATACATAATAGGCTACTAACCGCAGTGAAGGTGCAAACTGATGTTATCGCAGAACTATTCAGAGTAGGGATGCACCGAAATGAAAATTCTTGGTCGAAGCCGAACAAAATTAAACACTGGGCCGAATACCAAATACCTAACACACCCTTTCATAGTCATTTTTATGTTAAGTTATCATGGCAAATGAGTTTTTTATGTACAGGACACCAAAAGGCACCCTACAGTGATATTGACCCATCTATGTCACTAAATTATACAGTATTAATGTACTTGCATAAGCTAATAGTGTAAAAACTAATTAGCTGTGTAATGGAAGAAAACATACCAAAATATGCATATATATATATATATATATATATATATATATATATATTCCCAATTTAACTTAAAATTAATAAGTTAGTAAAATAATATTTTTTGGCCATCAGACCCCTTCTTGAATCAGGCATGTATTTATTTATTTTTTCTGTACAATTAAAAGCAGCCTTGCTGCGAAGAGTTTATACCGATTTCATCAGGCTCCGAAAATTCTTCAAAAAGAACACAAAGAATGGCCTTCTCAGCTGCCATAGTTGCAACTCTTGCGTCATCAGAACAGAGTGTTCAACGCACCACCGTTTCCGTTTAAAAAATGTGCTGCACCGCTTTTGTCGGGGCTGAACGCAGCCCTGGTTACATTGTGCCCCATTTTTACAGATTTTTTTTTTTCAGTGTGTGTTGTCTGTGTGAAATAAACATCTTTTAGCTGAAGAAGTCTCATTTTACAAGGTGAAACCTGTGGTAAACGGTAATTTTTTCACATCCCTCAAAATTAAGGAAATGTGGTGTGAGGGATGAGCGATTCAGACTAGGATGGCAGCCCTCCTTTAAGCATTTTGTTTATTTTCTGAAGACCGTTATGTTGCTTGCTTTCAGCAGCTTACTGAGACTTCCTCAGCTCTGGCTGTCCTCACACCCAGAGTCTGGCTTACTCTCTGCTGTTTACTTGCTCAACTGAAAGATTGATGGAGAGAGTGAACATGAATGTGATTTATGAGCGTTTTTGTGAGCAAAATGAATCTTAGAGGCAGATAATCACCGCTTTGCACTGGTCCTTGCACACTATTTTAGATTGAAGCAATGATGGCTGCTCCCTGTGAATAAGACTTCGCTTTCATTTCTTTTATTCATTTTAAATATAGTTCAAATTACAGCATCTCTCTTAAATCCTGATGCTCTCTGAGCAGATTTCATTTTTATAGAATATAGGAGCCATATTATATTATAAATCTGTTTATATGCCCAAAGCATCTGCTGTGATACTTTGTCCTCCGGAGCTATACTGTCCTCTCTAAATGGATGAACTCTGAATAGAATGCTTTATTTTATCTAGCCTACATAAGGCATTCTATTTAGAAGTCATGCGCTCTGAGACTTTATAATAAAATAACAGCTTTATGCTTTCAAACATTATATGGAAGGAATTAGAATAGCTTGCCTCATAAAATTCACGAGGTTACTGAGACTAAATGCTTCAGGACACAATAGTACTTGTTCAGAGGCATGATTCACATATTTCAGATTCAGAGTCCCCACAAAGCTGCAGTAAGATCCAGATAAATATAATATATGTGAACACAGGTTTATGCTTAGCTTTTTATTAGTGTTCTCAAGTTACAGAAACATTTAGCAGCATTATAATTAAATCTAGACATCTGCACTTTTACAAAAACAGATAATTTTTGTCCAAATTTATTAGTTCATTCAGAAATACAGTACATTAAAAATGATAAAATGACTCAAATACATCTCATGATCTATAATGAACATATTTTTATTTTTAAATTTTTATTTTTAAATACATTTTTAAATTGTGGGGGGAACATAACATTAAACATTTCAGTGACAGACTGTCTTGATATCATATTGAAGAAAAAACTGATTAAAAAATATACATTTCCGCGAAATCAAAGTCATACATACAACATGCATTGAAAGAACCATAAATCAGGAAATTATATCAGAGGCCCAATACCTTCATAACTGTGTAAAAAAGCAGATAATTTGACCTTTTTATGAAATGGAAAAGTTAGTTCTGGTTGTAAAATATCATAATGTATAGCCCCCCAAAACATATGATATTTGTGGAATTAGTAAAAATGCTTTTCAACATGAAAAATATATTTAAAAGGTTTTTAGCTTTTATGACTTATATTATGCCTTTTACTCAATGGTTATACCACGTCGTTTAATTAAAACTTTTTTTTTTCAAAACCACATGAAACCAACTTAAATATAAAGATTTAATTACTAACAATTGTTATTAGATTTTTCCTTTTCTTGGAAACCCTTTTTTTTCATAGACTCTTCTGTGATAGGCTACTCTTGTTTTTTTTGCAAAGGTTGGGGACTAAAACACTGTGACCACCCAGCCATGAGGGAATGAGGACGTTCAGAAAAGACTCCATTGGGAGCATTCAGACAGCAAGTCCAGACAAAATTTCAGTAATCAAGGACAAGAGGGAAAGTAATATGAGCAGCCCAATACAAAATGACACAGTTATCCCACTGCAGTGTATTGTAGAGTTCTTGGTCTCTGGTCCCGTAGGACGGTAAAATTCTTCACTCAATTCTCACCCTGGATTAGTTTAATTACACTTTTCATACGCAAGTGTATGACAAAGAATCAGCTATTTTGGTGTTAGTCATTAGAGTCCAAATATACAGCTTTGCAGTTCCATGCATTGCAAGCAGTGATTTGGTTTTTATCAAGCCACACCAGAGAAATGCTTCAAGATATGTCCATGTTTCTTATTTGGCTGACTCACTATGACTCAAAATCCATACAGTGCTCTTTTAGCCAACAGCATTCTATTATTTTGGATAAAACCGTATGATATCATGGTGTGGTATGAGCAGAGGAATGCTATATCTAGAAATCATTTGATGAAACGAGATCTTAGATGCTTTTAAAAAAGAGTGCCTCTAGCCTTAAAGGATTTTAGTGCATCAGAAAAGAACCTTTAAAATTGCATGGCCTCCAGAGTGCCTAATTAGATTTGTGCCTGCTTAGTTTCTGTGTACACTGTTTTGTTGTCCTACCTAGTTGTTTCTTGTGTAGCTAACCTACTGTCCAATGTTTTTTAGAGTTTATCCTAGTATACACCTGTTTTGTCGTAAACAGGAAACCTGGTCCTCATTTCGACCATATTTCAGCACCGTTTATGGTTCTGTGACAGTCAGACGACCATTCTCCTGCATTTTGTTCTTGTGGGAATAAAAAACCAGGTCTCCTATTTACTATGAGTGTCAGGTTGGCCCTCTTTTCTTCCAGTGCAGCCTAGAGGAACTGTGTCACATGCTAAATGAGGTTATATTTAAAAATATCAAATATATATTACGAGGACAGCAGGAAGACAGTTTGAGTGCATAATATATTATCGTAGTGAATTATTTTAGGGTCTTAAATCTAAAATTCTTGATCATTTAGATGATCAAGAAATTCACAAAATACACTACAATGTATTTCACCGGAGACCAAATCTCTAAATCTCTCTGAAAAGTAAGATCAACTGATTTTTAATACTTATCCAATTGCATTTTTTTAAATATTCAAAATCATATATTTATATATATATATATATATATATATATTCTTTATTTTCTGTATATATTCTTTATGTGTGACTGTAATACAACAGAATACATAAAATAAAGCAGTCAAAAGCTCTTTTAAAATAATGTTTTCAATTGTATTTTTAGATGATTAATGTCTTGTTTTCTTATGTTTATTTCTGTCACGGGTCTACTGTGTCGGAGCGAGGAGAGCGAAGACACAGGAGATTCAGCTTCACAATCTTTAATGAACCAAAATCACAGGGAACACAGGGCAGGCAGGAGACACACGTAGTACCACACGGAGAGACATTCAGGTACAGAATGATGTTTAACACCGGACAAGGAAACACGGGACAGACAACACTTTAAATACAGGGCTTAACGAGGGGTAATTACAAGACACAGGTGAATCCAAAGACAAATCAACGAGAGGGAAAAAACTGGGTCATGGGGAGCACATGGGAGAAAACATAACAAAACAGGTCCATATTCCTGACATATCGCCCCCTCCCGGAAGGTGCGTCCTCGCTCCGTAGATACAACAGAGGGAGGGACGGGTGGGAACTTGGGAGGAGGCTCGGGAGGAGGACGGGCACCCAGGAGGGGGCCGGCAGACAGAGTTCTAAGTGGAGACTATGGAGGGAGGAGACAGGAGGGGCTTGGAGCAGGAGGAGCCAGGCAG